TTGCATCTCTGCTACATTTCATTTAAACAAAAAAATCCATTGTTGTTTTAAACTTTTAAACTTTCATATTACATTTTATCTTGTTGCATTATTTTTAGCCTTTAGCTTTGGCTATTGGGCTGTATAGAAATGTACAAAATAAAGAACTCAAAAACTGTTAAGTTTTTGGGTGTCAGAATCTTAATCCACCAGTAAGCTTCATAGCCAAAGGACTTGAACTTACATTGCCTGCGTCCAAATCGCAAATATATATCCAGTAAACTCAAGGGGATGATGCCCTGTCAAGGCCCACATGCCTTTTGAGCTCCATAGAAACAGTGCGAGTCAGAAGGGCCCTCCTGGGCCATCTAGTCTGACCAGCAGCTCAGGCCGGCTCCAGTCATGACAGGCCTGCAAATACAATTTCTCTTAGTGACTGTTTGCATCCCGACCTTCTTCTTCCGCTGCAGCCATACTCACGGGAAATCCCATTCACTCCAACCATGCTGGGTCCTGTCCCTGAAATTGTCCCCTGCACGGATCCTCTTCACGTCCTCCAGCTCCATTGCTCTGCCTTGCAAGCAGGGAGCAGCCGTAGTTTCTGAGCTGCAGGCACGGCTCACGTGCCGTCCTCCTGTGTGGACTGTTTCATGTGCCACATGGGGACAAGGCCACGTTGAAGACTCAGCTAGTTACTGGCTCCATGTCATTACCAACCAGTCAGAATACCCAGTCAATATAATGCAATCTAACCTTGGCCTCCTCAGTTCTGTCCGGTTCCCGTGTTGCAACCATAGTTTGGTGTCATTAAAGGCATTGCATGCTTGCTTGCTTTCGATTTGCATTTTGAATACTGAGGTTCTCTCCTTTGTTCCTCCCCTTCTTTGTGTATCAGGCCTGCACAAGGTATGACCAGTCTAGGCAAATCTGCTGCACCGCCCATGTGCAGTGACCCAGAAGTTCCTCAGTAAACACCCTTCTTTCTGTAATTTTTCTAGGACTGCACAAACACGGTGAAGCAGTTGGCCGGGTGTGGATTGTGCACAACAAAGCAAAGGAATACTGTAACGAGTTCTACTGTTCTTTGGACAGTGTTCTCCAACCTGGTGCCCGGTGGTCTGCAGTTCCCATTATCCCCAGCCAGAATGGTCAACATGCTGTCTGGAAATAAGGAGACTCGTACTCAAATTTTACTGAAAGTACCAGACTGGGGAAGACTGATTTAAGGAATTGCGTTTAAGCTTAATATGTTTTCAGATACTTCTCTTTGGCCTAGATGCTGGGCTTGTGTTTCACCTCTTGGAACAAAGGGGAAGCCTGGAACCCCTCAGTTGTTATTCCAATATGGTTTCCTTAGACATCAATCCATAGGCTTCTGTTTGTATTTTTGTCCATTTGTTTCCAAGATGCTTCAAAGATCCCTGAGCTGGAGGAATAAATTGCAGAAAAAATATACAATACAATCCTATCTATGTTTCCTTGAGAGTGCATTCCCATTGCTTCATATGGGACAGAGTTGCTAGTATTTGCATTTAGGGTTGCCATCCCAATGATCTTAACAACAATGCAATCCTGTATAATGTTTACTCAAGTGTAAATCCCACTGAGTCCAGTCAACTTTGCCCCCTGGGAAGAGCATTTAGCCTGGCAGCCCAGACAACCAAGCCGAGTAGGATGTGTGAAGGCAGTTGGTTGGGGCCACGGGGAAAGGTCTATGGGAACTCGACCGACCACAGTTGCAAATCTTGCATTTTCATTGACCGAAACTGCAAGATGTGTATGTAGAGCTATTCATTCAGGTAATTTCAACAGTAAGCTATCAGAGGCACCCCCACTTAGTATTAGTGGGTGTGATGTGTGTGTGTGTGTGTGTGTGTGTGTAAAAGAAGGGGGGTCAGAAGAAAGCTCTTTAATGCAGTTTTAAAGCTTATAAATGTACTCTCTGTGGGAAGAAAAAGTCCCTCTAGGTAAGCCCCACTGGAGGAAAGCCTCTCGTACTATCTACAGTATGTCTACTTAAATCTAAAGGACAGCTCCTTCAGACCACCCACATGTTGCACTGCTGCATTGTTATTTTCACTTTGCTTTTTTTAGAGGGATTAGTGCTAAACGCCACAGCCTCGCCGCCTCACCAAGAAAAAAAAGATGAGGAAAAATCAATTTTGTGTAAAGTGAAAATTAGTCTCTTAAATCTGCAAAGCGAGCTGTTTATCTTACAAATTTATTCTTTTTTTATTGGGCCACACATACCCTAGATAGAAGGATAAAAGAGAAATGTCTAACAAGCTGTCATTAAGAATGACATCTAGCAAAACATAACTAGTACTCTTATTCTGTAAATTTATCCTGAGTGGCTTGTTAGCTTTAGCTATCTGTTTATCTATATTTTTCTTTTCTTTTTTGCACAGTGTTTATCAAAACTGAAAATTAACACATGCACTTTTTGCCTCCTATTTTCTTTCTAGGTCTTAATTTTGCATGGCTCTGTGCAATTCTCCCTCTTAAATTCTGTCACACAATGCTGTGCAAATATGAGGACAATTAGAATTCCTTGAGGTATTCCGAAATATAAAATAGCCCCTCTCCATGTCTGCCTGAAAGACCCCATAGATTCTGCATTCTGTTACTCTTAAATGCTGTGAATAATTAACATGTCTGTTGCTTGCTTTTTAACTTATACTTTGTGTTATAACTGGCTAGCTTTTCAAGCAGAACGCTCAGAGGATCTTGATCCGTCATCTATTTATTTTATTAAATCATTTGCTTTTTATCTTAAAAAAATACCCAAACTTATTCTTGTTCAGCAAAAGTGCATGACTATCTGTTCTTCCTTCAATAGTTATTTTTTACCACAGGACATAAGCAAAAATGCATGTCCTTTTCTCTGCATTATTATTAATATTGTTATGGAAAGTTATGTATAAACTTCCTACATGTATTTCTAAGACTGCTTCTTGTTACTAATTTTCCTCACACTCTGTTTAAGCAAAAATGCTACATTTCTGTTGACACATTTCTACCTATCGTTCTGGCTTGATTTCCTACCATGGCACTTTGTCAATAGTTAACAGGGTGGTCCTTTGCAGGAATAACCAGTGTTGAAGGATTATGGGAGTTGTGGGCTAAATCCTCTCCTGCTCCACAAGAGATCTACTTGCACATCCCATAGCTGAACCAAGGAAGATCATACACAGTTAAAAGTGACTTGAAAGGTTCTGCTCCAGTCTCCATCTTTTCTTCACATCCGTACACAAAATCTTGACTAACCCTCATTGCTTCTAAATGGGAAGGGGAGAAATCAAACCAGCACCCTACTAGAATCCAGCACATTGGGTTGTTCCATGGAAAAGACACTTTAGCCTTAGCTTTCTCCCATTAAATGAGAATTGAATTCCAGGCACTGAAAGAAGGAAGGTTTCCCAAATCCCTTGGGATGTATCTGCACGCTTGGAGCAGAGTCACTTTTCCCATTGTTGCAGTAAGCTTTTAACTCTAGCTTTTTGGGATGAAGAACAGGCTGTTCTGATGCGGAGCGATGAACTCTCTTTGTGACATTTAAAACTGCTTTGCAGCTCCAGTCAAAGGAAAATATGAAGCTCTCCTGTACGGTGTCAGACTATTTATCCATCTAGCTAATCTATGGTTCTTGTACTATATGTGCCTGCAGTGTCTCCCCAGGTTCCAGACCACAGACTTTCCCAGCCCTGCATGGATGTGCCAAAGGCTGAACCTGCTTAAAACATGCACAGCTGAGCACAGATCTGATCCCAGTCAAGGTTTTGCGGAGGCCCATATGTATAAGGCTTACATATCTCCAATGAATCTGGGCATGCTGAAACTTTTTACTTTTCTTTCCAGGCTGCTTTCAGTCTCAGCTCATCTCAATCAGTAAGCCTTACAAAATTTGGGGTATGTTGGGCAAGATCCCAGGCATAGAAAGCCCAAATACAGCAGTGGACAAACTGGGCATCCCTGGAACAAACTGGCAATGGAACAAACTGGGCATCCCTCCTTGTCGTTTCTTCACAGCACATGCCAGAGGTCACCCGTGCCCGGCCATTTATGCAGCAGCTCTTGCGAGTTTGTTATTTCTTTACAGTGCTTTAAGGATCTAAAATAGAGGGCTAAATATCCAGTGCAGAATCTTGTAGCCAAAAAATGGATATTGGATACGATGCTAGATATCTGGGCATGAAGGAAACAGTTGGTACTGGATCCACACCTGATTTCTCTATCGACTCTCTTTGACGTTGAATGAAAGAAGACAATTATGGGATCAATTTAGTTGGAATGCCCTCTCCCCAGAAAATCTCTACCTTACTGTAATTTGTTTGCAGCTACAGGTATAATTTGAAAAATTACCACAACCGTTTGGTACAATCTATTAATGGGTGAGCATTTTTAAGTCTTCTTGATTTCATTGTGAGAGATTTACATATGTGCTTACTCTTCTGTTAAAACTAATATTACTTCATGAATTAACTAAGGACTTAAACAGGCTTAATTTCCTCCGCATTATGCCTATAATTGTTAATACTGGTAGAACTTAAGAGTATTAGCAATAGTTGTAGAATTATTACTATTCTCGGCATTTAAAACTTCTATTTTGCTTTGTATATCTCTGCATATTGATTAGCAGTGAAACAAATTCAAGAAAGCAACAGAATACTTTCCTTTAAAAAAGAGCGAGAGAGAAAACTTTTTTTAGGATGGGAACATACTTAATAGGAATGAAGCAAAGGAAGAAATCAAACCAGCTGCTGACACAGCTGCTTCTTTTCTTGTCTAATTCCGTTCCGTATAAAGGTACCATATGCTGCTTAAAATGACGATGGGGAAGATGAAATAATTTAAGAGAATAACAAGAAAATACATGAATTGTCAGCATTCTGTCAGATTTAAAGAATGAAACAGACAGGTGTAGTATTGACATGTTTAGCTTTGTGTTGTGTTAGCAGTTTGAGTGAGAACAACTCCTTGACATGTGCTGAAGTGATGTGAGAACGCTCTCTGTGTTGCAGACATTGGAGAAGAAGCGGGGAGATGTGTTGGAGCCCAGCAGCCAGCTCTGCTGAGAGACCGGAGCCTTGGGTCTGCCATGAAAGATTGTCCCTACTGTGGGAAAACTTTCAGGACATCACACCACTTAAAAGTTCACTTGAGGATACACACAGGTGAGGTCTCTCCACCAGGCAGCAAATGTTTTCTCACAAAGAGAGCAGTGCACTGAAGGAGTTCTGTTGAAACCCCCTGTTGGCTAAAAGAATGAGCTGTGAAATCCGCAGCTGAGACACCTCGGTTCAACAGGTGACCCTTGGAAAACCAGTGCTTTGGAATGTCTGTCACCTCCTTCTTCCCAGGCACATGGGAACCAAATCTTGGCCTACCTTTCAGGGTGCTTGTAAAGATACCGAGATAATGAAGTGCTTTGAGAACATTTAAGAACTGAACCAAAACTTTGTGGGGATGAATTTTCCCTTCATTAGAAGGAAAATTCTTGACTTTTCTATACTGTGCAATAGCTAGATCACAGAGATTTAAAACCTTGAACATATAATATTACTTATGAAAACCATTGATATACAAACATGTAAATGGGCAGAACATACAGTCATTTTAGTCAATGGGCAATAAGATAAATTTGGAAGTGATGAAAACCTCATCATGCTGCCAAATGCTTGGAAGAAGAAAAAGGCCTTAACCTGATGCCAAAAAAGCAACAGCACTGCTGTGATCTGACCAAGGAGAGTCTCAGTTGAAGGAGGCAAGCACCAGAAAGGCCCTGTCTGAGTTTCCTCATAAGATATTTTATCACAGAGAGGACAATGAGGATGATGGCAGTTTTTTCTGGATTTTGGCTATGCTCTGAACACAAATCACAGCTCAGTCTTTTGCAACAATGGCCAAAAGCTGGTTCCCTCCCTCCCTCCCTCCCAGGAAATCAGCCATTCTTGAGCTGCTCCACAGGAAAGCTCCCAAAGTTGAAGCAGCTCAAAGAATGTCCAATTCTCTGAAGTCTCAAAAGCAGCCTTTTGCACACTCTTTCCCAGGGTTGAGGACTTGCATGAAAAATGCATGAAACTAACCACAAAAGCAAAACTGAAATTGTCTGGGGTCAACTTTTAAAGTGCTATAGGAATGGCAAGACTTTATTGTGATTGTAAGTGAGGAAAGGCTCCCTGATCTGTGCTTTATTAATAAAACAAAACATGTGTGAGTATTTATTTATTTGAAAAACATCTATATCACTCTTCTGTCAGGAAAGTACACAAAGTGATAGGCAAGACAAATGAAACATCTAAGAACACACACTTGTGAGGAATTAAATAAATGGTAAAAGTTAAGTGCAGTAGTTACCCAAAGCAGGAAAGGAGGTGACCATGGAATTTCCCATTATTACATAATATTCTAAAGCTCAACTTAAATGTTCTACCTATAGAATCAATGAAGCATTGGGAAGTCATTCCTTTAGGCAAACAAGAAATTATTGGTTAAGAGCCGCACTTGAGGGTGAAAATTCTTACTGCTTATATGGTGGTGACTTTTTAGGGGTGGCTGAACAGGAAAAAGAATTTTGGGGTATAGTAACCAGTGTAATGAAAATACTGACTCACTATGTGGTGGCTATAGAAAATTAGTCTTGGGGATAAATAGGAAAATAAAACAACCAATGTAATCTTTTATGCAAATCTGTAGTGTGACCAAAGCTGGGATACCATCTTATGATCACTGCAGCTTAAGAAGGATATTGTTGAGTTGGAGAAGGTGCAGACAAAGAAGAGCGAAATGATCAAGGAACTGGAGTGACTTCTCTTCGAGTTATTAGAAGGAGTTGTTCCAATGTTTGGGGCGTTCCAGCTTAGAATACCAGTGGTTGAAGAAGGACATGATAAAAGTCCGGATGTACATGATGTACGATGTGGAGAAAACAGATACCCAAACCTCTTTCCCCTTCTTCCATGATGCTAAAACTGAGGGCCAGTCAGAACTGAATGAATACCGGGAAATGCAGGACAAATGATCCTTTAGACACAGTGTAGTTTAACCGGGGCATTTGCTCTCACAACCTGTCTCCATGGCCATTAATGTAGATTTAAAGAGGATAAGACACATTCATGGAGAAGATGACTATCGAAGACAAGTAGGAAGGTGGGTGTCTGCTGCCTCCTGCATGCAAGGCAGTGCTCCTTTGAATGACAGTTGCTCAAGAGTCTATAAAAGAATCCCGTGGCATCTCTAGGCTTCCCAGAGGCTCTGGCTGGCCGTTGCAGAGCAGAAAGCTGAACTTGATAGGCCTTGGGTCAGATACAGAGGCCTCTTCTGATGGCTGTGATTGGCTGTGGTGGGATGCTGCATTTGTATCCCAATGGAACGTAAATGTATTTAATTTTAGAAGGAGAATGTCATTTCTCCACTTGTGCTAATGGAAAATCATGAATATCCCTCAAGCAGTGAATTAGAAAACATAATCCAGAGGTACACTTAAAACTCAGTTAATACTATATATAAATATTTAACACTGCTTTAATGCTTAAGTTAAAACAAGCGTTATCAGGACTTTTAGGAAGCGTTTCTGAAATAAATATTTCTTCCCTAAATAAATCTATACTTTCACTGCAATTAGATGGTCACTTTTGGTTTAATGACTGTTAGTGGCTGCGTGTTTGGAACTTGTGACTCACAATTTATGGAAAATAAATATGGCTTAGTAGATACTCTCTATTAAAATTGTGCCCTAAAACTTACTAGCAAAATTAACTTGCGAAGAAAACTTGCATTAAAAATAAGACAATGAATTCACAGAGGCATTATACAGTTTTTGCATATATTTACAAAGTGTTTTAAAAGCACAATCATATTAAAATAAAGATCAATTTCCATTCACTAAATAATAAAGTATTATAAAATAGCAAGAATACACTGAGAAAGTATAAATATATAATAAATAATGCAATATCACAAATAGCAAGTATTAATATGGGGAAAATCAACTCATATGCATTATTACAGGGGAATCAGCTTCTTATATACTCAACAGGAATGACTGAATTTTTTTATAGATATCAGATGGGTGAATGCAAAATTATTCAGGGTAACAGCCTTCCTACATGGTGCTCTATCTTTATTTTCATTCTGAACCATATATCATTGTGTGATTAAAATAAACATTTTGTTGTGTTGCTACACTACATTAACTCAGTATTTTGGGTACTCTCAGCACCTGTTTGTTAGCAAGGAACTCAAGCAGTTCTACTGAGTTGGTTCCCCGTGAACACCTGGGTGTTTGCAAGACTACGGCTTGAATGGATCCCGCCTGATGCTAAACCCATTGTCGAGCCTAAAATAATCCACAGGCCAGCAGTGAGAATCACCATTTCCTTATAAAGCCTACAGAAGAACTTCTGCGTTTGGATAACCCAGCCCTGCACATTCTTGTTTAAATAGCAAACCGTGGCTCTTGTCATTCTAGTTTTGGAGTCATTGATGCCACCCACGTTATGAGAAGGTTATTCAGTTTGAAGGTGGAGGTGGACGTGGGAGATAGAAATGTGCTCATAGAATCACAAGCAGAGACGGTTCTGTACTTTATGTTCAGGAAGGCATATTCTAGGCCTGTAGCCTTCAGCTTTCTGAGCCCTGGCTCCATGCTTTCTCTTCTGTTTTGTTGCAACAGCCATTATAGAAAAACAGCACTGCCTCAAGTATCTACCATGACTAGAGCCCCATCTCCTCCTTTTTTTAACCTGCTCCCCTTTGCAGTTGGGTCTTTTTTTCTGTCTCTACCTCCTCCTTCCATCCCTCTCCTTTTTTCAACTCTCTTCTGCCCAAGACAGTTGGGATGCTGCTGCTGGGACTCACTTCCATTGAAATTATCACCCAGAGGTGGAAGGCCACAGTTCTGCATGAAGAACTGGGCCATATTATTGTAATAAACTGAGATCAATTCCCCACCAGAAACAAGGTTGACTTTGACTACCTTCAGAAATCATTCCGAGGCATCAGTGCCTGCATGGATAATGGAGGAAAATCGCATTGTGCTCCTAAAAAAGAGACCGTTTTGGGCATTGACTTTCTTTTTTAATTCTTGCATTTCAAAGTCAAGGTAAAGCGGCCTTTCTTTCATTTCGCTCTGTTTCTCCAGATAATCCCATCCTTAGCACTGCACCACTTGCCTTTTTGGACTTAATGATATCCCAAACTTTTGTTGAAAATAATTGATTGAATTTAAATTTCCTTAAAAGTTTAAGAGGTAATGTTACAGTATAAATTTCCTACCAAACACTAAGTAGGGAAATATCCATTAGTGAAATTAACTACAGTTTCTAGGTAGCTAACAATGTGGCATATACAGTAGGGCATGGCTAATGAACACTGCAGTGGGTGATATTTCATTATACAAATTAATGCTCACATTTTAATGGGAAAGTCACATAATGAATCTCAGCTTCACTGACAGCAATTAGAGACACAGATTGTCCCCTTCTGGACAAGACACTGTTTAGCAATAAGCAGCTGTGTAAAAAGTCTTCAGGTTTGCAACATATATATATGCTTTGGGGGAATTGGTGCACCGTTTATATTAATGTACTGAAGCTTCAGAGCTAAGGAGCATCCATATTTATTTCTCCCAGTATTAACTATGTAAAATGTGTAGAAAGACTAAATAAATATCCAGGATAGGATTTAAATTCAATTATACAGCTTTGCAAAAATTAAAACGTTATTCTGTCTGTTGTGCAACAGAACAGAAGGTAAAATAAAGCCAGAATACAAAAGTAAGGAATAATCATATACCTTTTCTTTGTCTTTGGCTTGCATCTTTCTCAGGCACAGTAGCCAGGGAGTAGAGAGACTCGGAATGCAACTGGTATGTCTGACAAACAGATGAACTATGTGGGGAACATGTGCACGATCCAAAAATAATCCCACAGAACCTTTGATATTCCATTTGGTTTCAAAAGTGTGAAGTGAGTGATTAGAATGATAAAAGAAATTACTGAGTAGGAAGAGGCATAATAATGAACTAATTAAACTGCGCTGCAGTTCTTTTCTAAAATATCTACTTTGCCATTGATAAAATGGGTAATCAATAACCATTCCATTGATTAAATAGCTGTTCAAGAATATGTTCGCTGTTTGCACTGGAATATTCAGAGAGATACATATCTGTTTATTTCATTTTGCTTTTATATATCAACAATTTGGGTTTCAGCTGCCAGAAGTCACTCCAACCTAAACGCCTGTTCCAGATGTTTGGCATTCAGAAGGCCCAAGGTTCAAATCTCAGGATCTCCTGGTAGGAATGGGAAAGGCGTATTCTTAAAAACCCGGGAAAATCACTGCTGATCATTGCAGCAAAGCTCTTACTCTGTATAAGGGTTGTCTCAGTTAATGGGTGGTTTGGAAATCAAATAAATAAATAAATAGAGCAACTTCCCATGTTTTCCTGCATGAAGCTGCTTTTCTGATATACCACATTCCCACATGCTAAATACTATCCTCGGGAGATCGCGGGTCTAGCTCCCACACGGCTGTGAAGCTCACTGGCTGAGTTTGGACCAGTCGTTCTCCTTGAGTTCAATCTCCTGCCCATGGTTCTTGTTCTGAAGATAAAACAAGCTATGAAAACCTCTGTGGGTTCCTCCCAAGAGGAAAAAAGTGGGATATAAATGCAACGTAATAATAATGTTGTGGGTTTGGGAATTGATTTTATGCCACACTGAAGTACTAAACTAAGAAGAAGAAAAGGACCCAAGAAAATGAGGATTGCAATTATTATGAAATGAATGTGATGTCTCATACACCATCTCCATTGGCCTAGTATTTACTCAATTTTTACAGCACAAAAACTGGTCCTCGGAGCACATACACTGAAACTAGGCTACTTTTCTGAAATGTGGTGGTACCAAAAAGATTTGGTCAACCTCACAATTCCAGAGTCTTTATATTTTGAAATATGAATGATTCATTAGAATGATAGGGTCAAAATGACGGATTTTTAAAGTGTATGTATATCATTTTTATACCACCCAATAGCCGAGGCTCTCTGAGTGGTTAACAAAAATTGAAGTTAAACAAAAGTTTTAAAAGTCACATGGAAGCAAAATTAGTTTAAAACAACAAAAATACAATAGCAATTGCTATTGAATCAGCATAGAAGTATAGCAGCAGTACAGAAAAAGTATCTTCAAAAAAAGTTAGTAAGTTAAACCATTAAAATGCTGGGAAAATAGAATGATTGTCACCTGGTACTGAACTGCATGCAAGATAGGTACTAGGCGCATCTCGTCAGAAAGCTCATTCCACAACCAAAGTGATCCTTCCCTTGGTAGCCACCTGCCTCACTTCCTTTAGAAAGGGCTCCTGGAAAGAACCCCCAAAGAAGGCCTCAGGGTGTGCGGAGGTACATGAGGGACGAAGCACATCTGAGAACGTAGCTCCAAGCCTTTCATGGCTTCAGACATTAGCACTTTGGCTGGACCATGGTTAATAGTTCTCTAAGATTTTTATGCTGTCTTTCCATTCTTCCCACTTTCCTCAGTGTACAACATTTGGAAATAGTTTGGAAAGCTACAAGTACATTATTAAAGAGATGACACCAATGATGTTATATTTGATTTTACCAAATTTGTCTCTTTGGTTTAGTATATTCTCTTGCTTACCTATTGGCAAAATGTAAAGAATCCCTTGAAGGAAGAGCTGAATATTGCTTCCAAGAGCTGAATATTGCTTCCTTGAAGGAAGAGCTGAATATTGCTTCCAACTAAACAACAAAATACAGTACTTCTGTCCGTGTCTGCCGTTGTTCAGAGCGCCTTGCCCATTGATCTCTTGGGTTGTATGTCAGGGATATACGTCAAGGGAGTGATGTACAGACCCATTTATTTTCAGTTTGTACCAGTTCCACATGTGTTCATTCAAAGGGCCAGTCTATCCCACTTCCATACTAATGTGGTCTGGGGTGATGCATGAAAATTCATACACTTTTATGTATGATTTATGCATATTTTAATACACTGATTATAATAAAATGTGTTAGAGACACTTTAGTTTGCATCGTTGTACGTATCTGGGTATGCCCTGAAAGCCAAAAAGAATACTAAAAGTGAGCATTTTCCAGTCTGCAATTTTGTTCCAGTTCACATTGCTGTAAACTGGATTGGTTCTGTTCAAAATGCATCCAGATGAAATCTTCAGTCATCCCTAGTCCAGGCCAGCAGACAGCGCTGTGGCATTAATTCACAGGTGTCGCCATACTTTAACTTTGCCCTGCCAGGCAATTCTTGCAAGTTTATTCATTGATAAATATAGTTCCCCCACTTTCCCAATGTGTAGAACTCTTAAGATGGGCTGACCATTGATCATTCATAAAAACTTCAAGAACTAGAACATATGATCAATAATATGATAAAACACCATTCAGTAGCAAGGGACCGCAGAGACAACTGAGTGACCGGTTACTGCCCTGGCCAAAGCTAACTGATTTTGACTCAGTAACCAAGCCAGCTTGATGGCTAGGGATGTCACAAATTGGGCCGCATCAGCAAAAAGTCCTTGACCTGAATGCCATCCCTCCTAGCTTCTGGAGTTGGTGGACTTCAGCTGTTGCTGTAGTAGGAGTGCCACCATGATTAGCACACAGGTGGATTCACACTGAGAAGAGAAATGGAGGGGAAGGTATGAGAAAAGGTTTCTCTTTCTGCTTTGGAAATAGGAACAATACCAGTAGGCTCAAGCTTGTTTGGAGTGTCCCTGCATGAAGACGAAATGGGTCTCAACAACTCTGGAACCTTACCCTGCATTTCCGTGTCCCTGTGACTAGTCCTACTGTTCCTTTGCCTCGTGTTCCTTAGCTCTGGTGCTACTGGCATTGAAAGTCCACCAGATAAATGTTTGGAGGAAAGTTATTCATGTACTGCCACTGAGTTGTGGGAGGTGAGTAGCAGGAACGTGATGTGGTAGTTCGAGACCTGCTGGATTAGGGACCGCAGAGTTCCAGGTCCTAGTCCCCACTCAGCAGCAAAGCTTCCTGGGGAGGTTGGGCCAGTCATTCACAGTCAGCCTCCCCTTACCTCCTACAGTTGCATTGCTAAGATAAAATAAAGTGGAAGAGCTGGCCTGAAATCCTTACAAGATGAGAAAGGTGGGGGATAAATGCAATATCGTTATCATTATTTACCGAGCGAGAGGGCAGATTCAGTCAAGGAACACCTTGGTGTCCAAACACCCTCTCTCGTTCTAATGGAAGCATTACCTGGTTCTCTCCAGACTGAATCAAATTTTCTCACTGACATCGACACTAGTCATGGTTCAGGTCTGATCCCACCTGCCTGCACTGATCAACTGGGTGGTGTTGGCATTGCTGTTGGGTCTGGTAAGGAGGCTATCTTCATGGAACAGCTGGCAGGGAGAATGCAAGTACAGAGAAAGTGACTGAGAGACGGGGAGGTGAGCTACCTACTTCCATTTCAGATCCATGCTGGTGTTTGTCCAGGTTCATCAATTCCTTCATGGTGACTTCAGTTGTTGCTGGCTGTAGATCAGGTTTATTTTGTTAATAACTTTGTGTTCCTGGCTATCCCAAAACCTTTGTCATACCTCTATTCATCTCTGTGTTTTGCAATCATTAGTTCTGTCTTTGTTTCTGTTCTTGCTACACTTTTTAATTATGGACGGCTCAAGGAGAATTACAAATAAACAGAAATGGACAGGGCCTGTCATAACATGAAACCAAGTCAGTGATGAAGGCTCGTCACCAAATTCTTGCTGTCCTTCCATCCATCCGTCCTTCCATCCATCCGTCCTTCCTTCCTTCCTTGACTTTTTTTAGCTTAACAAACAGGTTGGTTTCTGAGAGGACAAGTGTGACAGATAATCACAATCATCATCCAGATGTTGTTTTTGGCAGGATTACTGGGGCAGTAATTACATGTGAAGGCTCTATCTAAACATATAAGCTATTCTTTCAGGACACAGAACTGATACCCTTGACATTAAGCAAGTAATTAATGTCTAGCAGGCTATACAGTATGGACCAGCCTTTTATGACCAGGTGTCCTCCAGATGTTCTGAACTACAACTCCCAACATCCCCAAGTTTGGCTAGGGCTGACAGATATTGCAAGCATCTGGAGGACATCAGAAGGAGAAGGCATATACTCTCAGTTATATGTGACCCCATTTGAGCAGAAATGAAATAGTTGCCTAGATTTCCCCACCCATAATTGTAGGCGGAGACTTGATTCTGGCTTGAACCAATTCATCTGTTTCCATAGCAGAAATGGCTTCTTTTCAAGTTATACTTTTAAAATCTCTTTTAAATCTATATGTTTTCAATTTACACTTTTAAAAATTTCTTCCTCTCTTCTCTGCCCCATGTTTAAAACTAAACCCTACATGAATCTTGACATTTGGGGCTTTGATCTAAAATGGAGGTGGGGGAGTGAAATCCTACCTCACTGCCCTCATGGGTTTTAAAAATGATTTAAAATATGAATATCAGGTCCCACCTCCATGGTTACCCTTCATTTTTAGGGCAGGGGAAAAAACTGATTCTTAATTCCAGGGATAACCCCTGAAACAAGGCTAAATAAACAACCTCCATCCCTAGTTTACAGAAGAAGAGAAAAAGAGGAATTTTATCTGCTTCATGGAATTGTCTGCTCCACATGAATAAGAATTTTGATTATTCCCATACCCACAGGAGATAACAGATAACTGTTTATTTTTGCAATGATATAGCAGAAAGCAGAAACTTGGATTATATTTTTGATTATTTATTATATCCTATCCCATTTCCTGAAAGGAACTCAAGGTGCCTGCGTAACCCTCCTCCTTTCTGCTTGCTCCTCAGAACAACAACCCTGTGAGGCAGGTGAGGCTGAGTGACTGGGCCGGAGTCACCCAGTGACGTCCGTGGCTGAGCAGGGACCCAAACGCAGCTCTCCCGCGTCCTTGTCCCGTACTCTGACCACTGCATCACACTGTGTGCTTTCTGTTATCATAGGTTGCACCCTACTGTATACCTCGGAAAGCCTTGACGGTTTAAAAATAATTTAAGCATAATAAAGAATAAAAAGCTTTTTAACTAGCTTTTCAACTTTTTTATGGTGGGGTGCAGGGAGAGATGTACACAAACAATGAAATATTTCCAGGCACAGTTCACAGATGGCTTGCCGTGGTGTTTAGATCGTTTCAGAGAAAGAAAACCAAGAAAACCTTGTTGTTTAGGTTGCTTAGAGGAATAATTGCTGTTATTGACAGAGCACTATTAAAAGAAGCTTTTAGGACTGTCAGACTGCTGTCTATTTCGATGACTATTCCAGCATTCAGGGCTGGAATGGAACCCTTGATTGCTAGCAAGAGCTCAGTATACATTTAAATTCACATTTATCTAGACATATTTTCCCTTCCGGATGTATGTGTGAATATCTGTAAATATTTCACATATGTGCTATGCCACCCAGAGTTCTTCTAAATCAGAAAGAGCCATGTTTAGCACAGGATATATATAAATATATATAGATACGTGTTTATCTCTCTCTCTCATGAAGATCATCTTATATGTTTTAGAACACTATTTAAGCCAGTCCTTACTCTGTTGAAAAGTGCTTATTAGAGGTAAATTACACTTTTTACTACTGGAGCATTAGAGGTACCATTAGTGCAAATTTAAAGCACTGCAAAAACAGTAGATAATGTTAATTTCAAACACAGAAACTAAATATATTTTGTACCTTTTTATTACTCATTTTGTCTTTAATTTTTATTGACTACCTTTTATCTTAACTATACGTTCTTAACACGATGCAATTGCAGTGTGCCGTAATGGTATTAATATTTTATAGAAACTGTATTTATAGTTCTTTATTTAGAAACAATGCAGCAGGTCTGCAGATCTTTGAATCCTTCTGGAATGGTGCCCTCCAAATAATGATAAATTACTTGTGCAGAATGCCATTTGCTAATTATATCCATGATTTACTGCAGAGCAAGACTTAAATCATTCATTTCAGTCTTGCGTAACAGTGCCATACAATTTTTAGGTTTAAAAATGGTTTCCATGTGTATAATTTAAACAAATTTTAATGCTATTGTATACAGGAAAACATTGTCGTCCACCCATTTGTTACTCAGTTTGTCTCTGCCTTCCCTTCCCCCTTCCACTTGTACTTTTAATGATCACCGTGGTAGGATACTTTTTTTTCCCCATTGTCATAATCATAGCTTTTAATTCTACAGCAGTGTTAGCGTATTAGGTTAAGGAAAAGATAAGCGAATGGTGTTGCTGGAAAGCAATCTAAAGAAAAATCTTTAAGCTATTAATTATATTTTCAGGGGGAAATGGCATTGGAAAAATAATTAGTGACTGTTTGGGGTCATTATTATTTTAGGAGGATATATCTTGATTTTTTTGCCCATCTAGTAAATTCAGTTTAACATACCCATTTGCCTTTTGATAATTACAGGGGAGAAGCCCTACAAGTGTCCGCACTGTGATTATGCTGGCACTCAGTCTGCGTCACTCAAATACCACTTGGAACGGCACCACCGGGAACGACAGAACGGAGCCGGATCACTCCCTGGGCAGTCCCAAAGCCAAGAACACAAAGAGGAGGCATCAAGCAAAGGGTCGATGTTCATTAGACCTGAAGTCCTGAGGGGGGCTTTCAAAGGTCTTCCTGGCATAGATTTCCGAAGTGGTCTAGGATCTCCACAATGGTCTCCAGGGATGCTGTCCTCAGGAGACCATCCAGGCCATTCAGTTGCCATGGCATCAGAGGTTCCTTCAGAAAATTTGAAGGGATCTGATCTATCTTCCAAAGGAGCACGCTTTTCTGAACTGGGCCGAGCTTATCATAGCATGGTTGGGAATGGAGTGAACTTCCAAGGGTCGCTACAAGCCTTCATGGACAACTTTGTCCTCAGTTCCCTGAAGAAAGAAAAAGAAATGAAGGAGAAAGTCCTCTCGGATTGCCTTTCCACCAAACCTCTCGGTTCAGAGAACAGTGAAGAAAAGGTATCTAGCAAGCAAAGAAAAACAGAAAAATCACAGTATGAACCGCTTGATCTCTCTGTGAGGCCAGATGCAGCCAGTCTTCCAGGTTCATCCGTTACTGTCCAAGATAACATTGCTTGGCATGGCTGCTTGTTTTGCTCCTTCACAACATCATCCATGGAATTAATGGCGCTCCACCTCCAAGCCAATCACTTAGGCAAAGCTAAACGTAAAGATGGTGTTTTAGGATCAATGAGAAATGGGAAAGACCAACCTAGGGAGGCTGTTGCTTCAGCAAATAAAGCCAGCTTGCTGAAAGCTTCCATACAGTCCAGCAAAGATGCAGCCATTTCCAATGTGATTGGCCAGATGGACTCAGGTTCTGAAGGAATGAATCAAGGGTCCAAGGAGTCACCGGCAGAGCAAAAGAATGCCGCTTGGCCTGGCCACGTGGATTCCACTTTTTATAATTTTGCGGCAGACTTCTATAAGCAATTTGGTGTTTATTCTGGAGTCGTTGGAGTGCACAGTTCTTGCACCACTAGCGAATCAGACATAAAAGCACAGTCTGACGATGATCCTACCATGCTGCTTTCTGACTCTGTAAATAAAAGTGCTACTGACGACCTCTCAGATATTGCTTCATCTGAAGATATGGAGTCCTCCAAGGAAGAGAACATTGATGAGGAGGACATTGCGGCAGAACCCACTCTTACGAACAAAGCATTGTCCAATCTGAACAAAGATGCTATTGACCGAGGGGAGAGCGTACGCGGCTCTGCTGCCTCAAAAACTTCACAAGGACTAATGTCACCATTGCCACCTTCCGAAAAGCAGTGGCACAGTCAGAGTCTGCTCTCCTCGCACGAAGTTGCACAGGGTGCAATGAAGCCGGAACAAGCTCCAAGTCCCCAGGTGCTGGAGAAACAAGTCAACATGCTCTCAGTCTTAAGAGCCTACAGCTCTGATGGCTTAGCAGCCTTTAATGGACTTGCAAGTAGCACAGGAAGTGGTGGCTGCATCAAGAGACCTGACTTGTGTGGTAAGTTTTAGAATCCTTCTTTCAGACCATTCAGAAAAACGCAAACAAACAAACAAAATTACTGAGTATGCCTAGCTATGTTTGTTAGTGAATTTGGCTTTCCAAAATATCCCAAAAAGATGGGACGAAACGCTACTTTGTTACAAAGCATGGACCTCTGGTAAATTCCATGGTGCTTCGTGCAACCGTATGTGGCCATTCCATGTGGTCCAGGCCATTTTTAAAATATATATCTATATATATATATAATGTAGTTTTAAATTAGATTAGCTATTCTATAAGATGTTTGTATTTATGATATGTGATCAGGACCTCTGCTGTTTCATTTTTATCTATCTGATTCCATCTTTTTTATCTTTAATTTTTTTAATGGATGTGGTAACTTGCAAACTTTTCAGCATTTGAACTGAGGAAAAACACTGGATGCTTTGCCAAGCCTTAGCCTAGCTTTCTTTCTCAAATTTCTTTCTTTTTGTCGACTAAGGGCATATTGATCATGCTCAACAGTATATAAATCACATAGTGAGCTATTCCAATGTGTAGCTATATTTTTATAGGGAAATTCTGAAATTCTTCATTAGTAAGCAATCCTTCATTATTTTACAAACCTAAATAACCTACTGTTTCCATTTCCTTACTGGAAATAATGTGAGCATCAAATCACAAAATTAACATGACGATTGCAGATAACAAAAAATTTGCAGAACAGTTATGCCATTGCCCTTGGGTATATTCATATAATAACGTTATTTTTCAATGAACAGTGTTTTTTTGGAGACACCCATTAGCAGATCCTATTACTGAAATTATGTCAATACAGCTAGTTTTCAAGATATTTAGGCAATGTGAAGAGGATCAACATGCAATGGATATTATTGTCACCATGGTTTTGACAAGGTAGATGTTTACTATTTCTCCGAAGTGTGATGGTTGGGAAATCTGTGGCATGTTATTGCCACTACTTGGTGATTCCAACATAATATGTAGATGGAATACTGTAAATCACTTCTTAATCATCAGATATTTTTGACAACAATCTTTTCCTTGTATGCCCCATACGATCCACCACCATGCAAGCCCCCCAAATCAGTATCACAATGGATAGGGAAACCCAGGGCTTATTGGGCCTTTTTCACATAGCTTTGGATGCAAAATAACATTAAAAACCACTCATCAATGGAGGGACAGTGTCTGTGAAAAATGCATCTTTTAATATAATCTCTTTCATTTACAAGAACAGAAAGAGTAGCAACCAAAATGCCAAGCAGACAGAAATGTTAAAAAATACAGTTTACTCATTACAGTGGAGATGACAAATGGAAAGGAAATTTATCCCCTCCTGCCCACTGAAATGTTTGCTTTTCCTGCTTCACTTGTTAATGGCACACGATGGTGTTGGTACTCAGAATCAACTTGCAACCTGGTCCTCTAGTCTGAGCTTCCTTACAGAAGCCCATCACATATGTTTGCAAGCACGGATATGTCATGGTCACACCTCGTAATTCCAGATGTGCACTGAAAATATGCAATACTTGGAGTGTCTTATGGTGTGACTTGCCACACAAGTGTTGGAAGGCTCGGGTCTAGGAAAAGGAGGTGTACTTTCTCCTGGGTGACATGTGATCATGAACATTGGAGACTCAGATCTGTGCTGAGGAACACCAGAGTTCAGATGTTCAAGCCTAGGCTCATCTAATTAAGCCAGAGAGGTAAAGCACACAGTTAGCAGCTTAAAAACAGCATTTAGCTGGGGCAGGGCTAGGGAGGGAGTTCAAAGCCATACCTCTCAACTTTGTCTTTCACCAATCACGTCCACCATGCTGCCCAGCTGAGAAATATTGAGCTAAATTGGAGCTTTTTCTATCATGGCAGAAGTCTGTTTAGTAGAAGCGAAAACTAAATTAAAATAAAGTTGGGAGAGTGTTGCATTGAGGTCCCACCCCTTTCTCTATCTTTTTTATTGCGTGAAATAATGTCTTTTTGTGTGGGGGAGAGACAGCAGTGTCAGGTGTGTTGGGATTTATCTGGTATCCCAGTTCAAGTTTGTTCACAAATCTACTTACAGTGGCTGTTGTTCACCTGAAGTTCAAGATACCAGGTGAAGCTCCAATGAGTTAGATAAAGCTGCACATATGTCTGAAGCATCTGCAGGGAAGCTTCAAATGGAAAAATGTGCCATTCTGAACTCAGTCTCCATAACTATGCAGTGCAAAGAATATTTTCCAAGTTGTCAAAATTAAAAAAGGAAAGAGAAGAAAAGAAAGGAAAGAAAGGAAAAAGCTTGCTATGGGATTTCTGACAGTTTGAAAAATATTGACAGCTGTTAATGTTATGCAAATTAAATGTCCCACTTTCCCTCCTTTTAATAGCTATTCAGCCTCATGAGTATAAAAAGAGGATTGCCCAAAAAAAGTCTAAAATGTAAACTTTCCTAGTTCATAACTGAAAAATCAGGACAAGACTGTGTTCAAAGTTTTAACAAATCTACCTTTTATTTCACATAATCACCCTTGAAAACAGGCTTGTGTTAAATTTCCATCTTTCTAATGAATTTCATGATTTTCTGAAATCATGGAAGTTTCACATGATGTGCCTTTTAAATGATATGTGGCCAAGCAGACCTAATAGGCTGGGCTATTTATGTTGGGTTATTTTTATAAGCAGAGTTTCAGTTCTAGTCTTCCTTCTCACCCCTCCAAAAATATTTTTGAAAACACTTTGACTAAGATCTCTATTGTTAGTTTGCCCCCAGTACTTACTGGTTCTATGCTAAGCTATACTTGCATTGCACCGACTTCAAGAACTCATAGTCTTAAGTATTTTGACTTTTTCCATCAGTCTGCTTGGCAGGCTTTCTGAGCAATTGCAAAATAGATCAATGTTCATCAAGAGCAGAGCATTACTATTCAGTTAGCCCCTATCATGACTATGATTAGAGTTGCAAGACGACATTTCGTGAGCTGCTGTGCCTTGACCTCATCTGGGAGAAACTGATTGGTGGCATCTTCAGCACATTCTAAGATGCATTCATTGGGATAGGTGGTAGACCAAAATCACTGTTTGGAGAGCATGTTCCTCAATGAATGGCTGCATACAGCAGCCATGACATGTGGCTGCTTACCTAGCCATCACCAAACATGATATCAGATTTACTATGGAGCTATTCATCATGCAGACATCCTGAGCGATGGGTCGGAATAGGGCTTGGGAGAGAACAGTGGTTGCTTCGCTCGCCAAGCTGGCCAAGATGCATTTAGACAGCCCTAACTCACAGATGACTTGAAAGCCACAGACCTGAGGTAGATGCACTGATTGCTCCAGACCAATGTGCTCTATGGAAATGATGGGCATTGTAGTCCAACATATCTGATGGGCTGTGGAAAAGACTGCTCCAGGCCCGACAAATCGTACAGTGCTTCCATGCCTCTCTTTTTCAGCCTAATCCAAGCAGACTGCTGGCCCCGTTGAGCCAGCGAGGTGGCAATGGACTCCCAGTTGTGTTGCCTTCTGGCTAACTCAGATTCAGGCATGACTGGAACAGGGTCCTGGGCAATCTCAGGACAAATTGCCATGGTGCAGTTCTGTGTGTGTGCCTGGGCGTGTGTGTAGAATTTTCCCGTCACGTACCTGTAACCCATGGAAAGAATGCTTGCATTCTTCCTCTGTGTGTGTATATGCTACAGAAAAGGGACTGGGCCCCACCTGCCTAACCTTTGTATGTGCAACACTGGTATGGTGATAACAGCAGGTTTTCCTGGCACACCTCGTGGTGGGTGCACATGGCCCATGCGCAACGGCTCTGCTCGCTTGGCAGTGGCGAAGCCGGCCAGGTTTCCGTTGCCCTGGGCCAGCTTGCCTGCGCGCCTGACTCTGCTCTGTCAGATGAACAGGCCCGGTTCACCTAATGATGGCCATTCATTACTTTACTTTCGACAAATAACTGGGGATATTTGTCATCGATAGTTTTATATTATCTGTGACATTTCGTGTTGTCACTGTGAGTGTTAAATGTGAATGATTCAGCTAATATGTGTGCGACGGTGAGACTGTCGGCAGGAATGCTTGATTAATACGGATGCTGCATCCCAGCCCTGCTTGAACTTGACTCTGCCACTCTGGCTGTGCGTTTCCGGCCCAGAAAGCAGCGGCGATGAGTGAGTGCATCAGGTCCGCCATTCACGTTATCGCTGCTCTGGGCATGGAAGCTCTTGAGGTCATAATCATCCCATATATTCACCTGCACCATAGGCATGAGCAATGCTGGAGGACGAGAAAGAACAATGCTTTCCATTCTTGTTTCAGCAAGTGGGCTATGTGTTTATTCGTGTGTTACGCTGTCAGGACCAGTTGTTCCAAACTTTGTGCCTTGTTTTGGTCTTGTTTTGAACTCAATAACATGGCTAAGGTGGTGTGAGCAAGACTTTGGAGCTAATGGCTTACCTTTAAAGCTAGTGGCTTACCTTTTCATTAAGGCATATTTTGCATGCAAAAAATGGGGAAGCAGTCCAGGATCATTTCAGAATCAGTCAAGTTCAATATCCGCAGAAACATTTTAAGATGGAGAGGTGAGGGAGGGAAAAGTCCAGAGAGAGGGACAAGTATCATAGCAACTTTGCAATGAACTGGCATTTTGGCCTCTCCAAGGCCTTGCCCGTATTGTCTCCTCGGGTCTTCATTGTCTCAAAATTGGCTATAAGGGACCCACCCAGCAGTTAATTAAAGGGCAATTTAGTGACCTGTGAAAATATCCATGGTGTGTGTTTGCGTATGTATGAATGTATGTGCTTATAGAAAATAGACAGAAGGAACAGAGACTTTTTTAGTAATTGGAACAGCATACAAAAACCTTAAATAAATAAAAAAACAAACAAACAGACTGCAGCTGTCTTATACCCTGCAGAATATACCTTTTATGTTTAGGTTTAACAAGCCTGTTGAAAAAAAAGCCTTTTTTAAGACTTAGATCACACTCTTATGATCTATATTTAAGCCAAATGATC